GGGGGGGGGGGGGGGGGGGGGTTGGGGGACGAATGCCGCGGCAGGGGTGGGCGAGTCGGGGCGCGTGGCGGCTTCGGGCCGGGCGGCGGGGCGGCCGGGAGCCCGCAGGGTGGCAGGGTGGGGCTTCTACGTCGTGTGCATCGTGCTATCGAAGTGGAAGATAGCTGCGCAGGCACATGGTGGGCCCCCAGCAGAGGTTGCCTGCGCCTCGTGCTGTGCGCTGGCGTGTCGTGCCCGCCGAGTCCATTGCAATCCAATCATTTGAAACGCAGCCTCACCTGGGTGCGGCGGCTGCGGCCACACCAAGTCTTGTTGCAAATTGCTGGGGTACCCATCAGGCACAGGCACCGTCGTGAGCTTGATGCAAATAGCGCCCGGCGCGGTGCCATCGGCGGCGTCGACCGACAGCGACAGCTCCGACCATGGGCAGCTGTCCCGCTGCATGGTGCGCCGGCGGCCTCAATCCCGCTTCATCCCGCTTCCACTGCGTCTGCTGACCAACGCGGAGCTCTGGCGCCGTGTAGTGATCTAGACAAATTTCAATCTGAAAATCAGCCACCAGGGCGTTATGAGATGCGTGCAGGAATCACAACGTCCCCGCCACCCATGCAGCTTATCTGAAGACCAACTCGCCAACGGGTAACAGGCGCGGGGGATGTGCGCGGTCAGCATCCAAGAATTCGACCCAGTACTCAGCAATCAAGACCCCGTTAAGTAAGAAAAATATTGGGCTCTGTGAGGAGACACACGTGGCGGTTGGTGCCCAGCTGATAGATTACTCATTCATCAGCCGCGCCCACCGCTGACGCGACCACAGTTCTGCGGCCCGTGGCGGTCTGCACACGTGTGCTTTCGGAAGACCCAGTACACACACCGTATGTGGTCAGGCACACATGGTTGCTGCGTGACGCTCAGTCACTCCATGTCAACTAAGTGGCAGGCGTCACCTGTTAGCCTTCACAGGCGTACCGCTGGTAGAGCCATGAGAGCTGCTACTGTCACGCCACCCCATCCGTCCAGCAAGTGCTTAAACAAGGAATAAAGCTGGCGGCCTCATGCGAAAAGAACAAGGTGTTGCTGCACACTGGTGCGCCGTCCTCGCCGCATGCAAGTGGGGAATGCAGCGTGAACGATGTCAAAATGCTGATTGGAGAGTGGAATGCAACTGAAGAGAGGCTCAGCGATGCTCTACTGGTTGTTGGTTGCGGCGGCAGTGCTGAAACGTCAGAGCAGGAGCTCATGAAAGCGCCTTGAGTCACCGCGCCGCGGCACACATGTTTTTATGCGTACGTGGGTGCAACCAAATGTAATCATGCAAACGTGCCAAGACAGGTCTCTGAGCAGTGCTGATCGCCTCGCCGTTTTCTGGCGGAAGAGTCCCTGCACAGTGCTGCGATGTCACGGGCTCGTAGCCTTGAGTCGTAGGCTCTCCGCCTGCGGCCCGTTGGCGGGGAAAGGAAGGGGGTGGGCAGGGCGCGGGCTTCAAGGAGCGAAGATGCTTGCGGCCCGTCCCAGGAGACTAATGGCCCAGCAATGGCAGCGCTGCAGCCAGAATTGAGCACAGGCGTCGAGCCACGCGGCGCGCCTGCCCCGTGCCGCCTCAAGGAGCACGTAGAAAAGCATTTGACCGCAGCGAGGTGACCCATGCAACCCCACAAGGCCCCATGCAAACAGGCCCGCAGAGCCGCACCGCCCGCAGGTGCCGCGCGATCCGCCGGTACAGCCCCTCGCTGCGCCTGGCCGCGACCAGCGCGTACGCGGCGCCGCTCGCCGCGGACAGCGCGGCAAGGGTCTGGAAGGCCGGGCGGAAGCAGTCCGGGCCGACGCACGCGCGCGGGTTGCCGTGGGCGGCTGCGGCGCGGTCGTACAGGCGGCCGGTGAGGAGGGTGGCCAGGAGGTAGCTCCCTATTGCAGGAGCAAACTGCAGAGTTTTTTTGGGGGGGGGGAGGGTGTGGAAACGGGGGCAGGGGCGTGTGTTCACAGCTTGTGTTCGACGTCGACTTGTGTGTGGGTGCAAGCGCGCTTGTGTCGAAGCAGGCGGTGTGGTGCACGCTCGTGCTCGCCAGCCAAGTGTGGGCATGCAGGCGTCAAACGCAGGCGGCGCGGGCGCGCGGCGTGGGCGCGCGGCGCCAGCGCTCGGCGCCAGCGCTCGGCGCCAGCGCTCGGCGCCAGCGCTCGGCGCCAGCGCTCGCCTGGAGTGTCGTGTAATTCGAGCCAAAATGCGACAGCCCTGCGCCCGAGGTTGGGGTGGGCCGCAACTGGTGAGGTTGCAGACGCGGGGCGGCTTAGTGCCGGCTGCCGGCACACAAATCACCATCAAAGCTGCCCAGCCCATCGGCGCAGCGGCTGGGCGCTGCAGGCCCCAAAAGGGGCATAAGGAAACGCGCGCCCCCACGTGCAGGCAGCGGCGCGGGCCGCTGCTCTCGACGCCAGTGCCGACGAGCTTGAGCGTGCGGCGCAGGCAGCTCAGACTGCACACGCACGCCACGGCAGGAAGCCCCTTCCAGCGAACATTGATTTGCGAGTGACCTGCGGGGCCCGACAGCGAAAGTAAGGCCGTCGCCTCTCACTCACCGAACGAGTCTGAGCAGATGGATGGCACCAGGCTCCAGTGGGCGCCGAACAGAAGGCCTAGGAGCGCCGCAATGACGTACAGCTGAGTCAGCGACGAGTAAGCGGCGGCTAGGGTGGTCACTGCCTGCACACGGGTATTTGTGTGTGTGTGTGTGTGTGTGTGTGTGTGTGTGTGTGTGTGAATACGTGTGTATGTGGGAGGTGGTACAAGGGTCGAATTCGAGGCACGATGGGTTGTGGCGACATGCTCAAGCAGTCGCAGCCAATGGCCAGGAGCAAGCGAGCCGCCAACAGGTGGCAAGGCAACAGCGCGCCGCCACCCAGGGCCTGGCGCGAGCCCTGCGCCCGCGTGCGCGCGACGTGGCGCCGCACCGTGGCGGCGGACACCGCGACGAGGTATCGGGTGCGGGGCGTGCCATAGAGATGCAGGGCCCTCTCTGGTAGGTACCCCATGACGAGGCGGCCTGGACAATCCGAGCAGGGTCGGGGTGACAGGGTGGGCAAAGGGGAGTTCGAGGGTTGGGAGTACGTGAGAGGAGGGCGCAGAAGGCTGGAGTGATGGCAAGGGGAGCGACATGAAGGATTGGAAGATGGAAAGGATGACACGGGAGGGCGAGCGGGCCGATGGGGGGTCGGGGATGCTTTGCCAGGGAGGTTTGAGATGTTTGCGGGCCGAGGGGAGAGGCCAGGCAGGGGCGGCGTCGCACCATCGGCCGAGAGCGGGCCCAAACATTTCAGGCGGGCCGCCTCAAAGCAGCGCCCGAGGGAGGGGCCGCCCGCGACCGGCGGCAATACTCGGCCTTGCAGGCACAAAGGGGGCCGCCCCCGCCCCCGCCGTGCCCACCTGCCGCGTTGGCCACGGAGAAAAGCGACACAATCACCACCTGCCCGCCGCGCCGGCCGCCGAGCGCCACGACGACCTGGCCCAGATTGTTGAGCATCGCGAGACAGGACCCCGTGCCGACGCCAAACTGCGCAAACAGGCACCAGAAGCCGACGGACGACATCATCTGAGCCGAAGTCAAGTTCGGCAGGCCCCCGGCGCCGCCGCCCTCCTCGTCGCTGCCCACGTCGCCGATGTCGCCGCGGCGGCCCGCGGCCCTGCCGCCCGCTTTTGGCAGGAGCGCCGACGCCTCGTCGGCGCCCGCGTCGGCGTCGCCCTCTGCGGCCGGCGCCGCCGCTGCCAGCGCCGCCACCCCCTGTTTCGAATCTACCAGCACCAACTCCAGCCCGCCCGTGCCCTCAGGCACACCCCCGACGCTGCTCGCGCTGCGGTGCTTGGCGCCGCCCACAGGCCGCGCGGAGCCGCAGCGGGGCCCAGCGGCGCCGGAGGGCCGGCGTCCGGGCGGTGCGTCGCTCGCCGCGGACCTTGGCCGGGGGCTGCTGACATGCTGCTGTTGCTGCTGTTGTTGCTGCTGTTGCTGCTGTTGCTCAAGGTGCTTGTGCTGCTGCACTTGCTGCTGCAGCACGTGTTGCTGCGACAGCTGCTGGGGCCCGTCCAGAGCCAATTGCTTGCCCCCCAGCCTGGCAAGCGCAGGGAGGCGCGTGCAACGAATTGAGCAGAAGCAAACTTGAGACCAAAACGCTTGGTTCATGCAACGGTGCACTAAGCTCCCCGCATCACGGCGCTCCCTGGACCCCAACATAATACCCCAGCGCTCACCCTGTGGTGGGCAGCGCCGGCGACCGCGCCCGCTGCTGCTGTGCTTGCTGCTGCTGCTTCTGCTGCTGCTGCTGGCCGTCCACCAGAGATTCCCGGGTCGAGGCCGCCACCCAACCGCCGGTGTTCAAGGGAATCGCCGCCACCAAGCCCAGCAGCAGCAGGCAGCCCGCGGCGAGCGCGACGCGCCCGCGGGGCGCGACGCCGCCATGACTCATGACGAGGGCCCCGGCCAGCTGGTACACGGCTATGGCAGCTACCAAGCAGTAGGTGAGCTGGAAGCTGCGGGGACAGGGTTGGATTCCAAGCTTGTTCGAATTCATTAGCGGGCAGCAAGCGAAAAACTTTAAAAAATTTGTCGCCAACACATCATGGCATGTGGCGCCGCCGGCATCGATTGGGCGCCCGACGCCCCGAGCCCTCCTCTGGCGCGGCCGCGGCGCAGGGGCTGCCTCGTTGCGCGTGCAGCGCCGCCCCCCGCCCGCCCACCGTCGCTCCGACGTCATCGCAGCCTTGTCGGCGGCGGCGGCCGGCTCCTCGGAGGCCTCGGCGCAGTCAACCTTGTTGACCAGCAGGCTCAGGGCAGCGCACAGCAGCGCGGGCACGATGCTGCAGCGGCAAGGGGAGGCGGGTCGGGGGGTCAGCGCGTCGCGCCGCGGCGCGCCCAACGGTAGGGGTCGGGCGAGGTCGAGCGGTGCAGGCGGGGGCGCGAGCGCGAGAGAGTCTAAGCGCCGCCGGGGCCCCTGAGTGCTGGAAGGCACCGCCCAGCAAGGCTTGGCCTGAGGGTGCGGCGCACGCCTGCGCGCATGGGCGCGGGCGACGCCGCGGGCGCAGGCGCAGGTGCGCGCTCACGCGAGCACGAGAAGGAACGTCGCGGCGTCCGGCGCGAGCACTGCCATGTACACGGTGGTGAAGACGCTGGCAGACAGCCCTGCGAACGACTTGAGGATTCCGACTGCGTAGCCGCGGCTGTTGGGGAAGTTGAGGACTGGCGAGGCCAGGGCGGGGACCGGAGTGGGAG